CAAGTCTAGTTGCTAGATACTTGGTTTGAGGGTAAACAAGTCTTTTACGATCCCTAATTCAGTGAACAATTTACTATTTATACTGAAATAATTAAAGGATTATGACTGATTTCTTAAAGCACATCGGAGCGTCAAAATGTTGAGTGAAATTTCCAACATCACCTTGTAACCAATCCTGATGATTTCAGATGCAATTTGAAAAATCCCATTTGTCTCTCATCTTCTTGGTTCTGAACCTAAATATACTACAAAACCTACTTCTTCAACCTGGTTTTTGCCTCAGCTGGACACACATCATGATACAGACAAGAAACTCAGCAGACTAAAAACCTCAGTCTGGACTAAGAAACAAGATCCAGGTACTCTTATATAATCCACAGTTTCCCAACATTGCTTTCTGACAACAGATAAAAGTGTTCAGTCCTATACAGAACCCTTCACTGCATATTTGTACAGAATTCAAACGAGAAAAAGCTTTTTAAAACAAACTAATGCACAGACCAGGTAAACTTGTTCTACCTGTCTTATTAAGGTGTGAAGTTCTGGTCCAGTTGTAGGTTCCTTTGGTCATCAGGGTTAAAACATGTTGCAAAATTTCTCAGGTTTCATGTAACCCTAAAATATACTGTCACTAGACCAGCGGTATCTAGAGAAGGAAAATCTTTTAGGGGCAGAGGACTCTGTGCGCTTCGTGGATAATGTGTTCAGCTTGGAGGACAAATTAGTTTGATTGTGACCAGTGAGCATGCCCTGGTTTGGAGTCATTTGACTCCAAACTAACTCAGACCATGCTTCTTGCCTTCTTGTAAGAGGGCAAGTACATTCCTCAGCATACCCTCAATCTTTGAGAACCAATCTGGCAGTGCTGGGAAAGAGAAGTAAGGAAATATATACCTCCAGATTGGGAGAAGGCCCTCAAATGAAAAGATCTTGATGTATTCCTCTGGCTGGGCCACCATACCATGAGAAGCAGAAAAAGAAAGCAGTAGAACACCAACAAAACCATAAACAGCAACTAGGCAAAACAAGATCTAAAATCATCTTGTCTGAAAGCAGCTGCAGCCGTGTTCACTCGCTAGCATCCAGAAAAAAAAACAAGTTGCAAAGTAGCCACCTTATGGATCTCAGAGTACTGGCACCATACTGACAAGCGCTAAAGCTCTCACAGGAGTCTTTGCTAGGTGCTTGCTCTCTTATCAAGATTGTAACTGTAGTCATTGTAGCACAACCTCCATTTCATAATAATCACAGCTGTGCAATAGAGAACATCATGGCCAGTGGAATATGGTACTTCTTTTGATATGTTGCTGGAGGGTGGAATTATGTGCCTGGGAATTGAGGATATTTCACAGATGTTATTTAGCATAGCAATGAAAAATTGTAGGAAGAGAAGGTTATTTGAAGTACTCCAATGTTTCTGGTCTTTTGCACTTCTCACAAAGGTAACTGCCACAGGGAACACAATGTTAAAAGTAAAGCAGAGCAAAATAATTTTAGCAGGTTTTAAGGGCCAAAAGAAAATGCAAGGGACCAAAGTAAAAGTTTAAATAACATCAATATTTGAAAGAAGGACTGTAAAATGTGGTCTTCCAAGACCTTACACCTACCCTTGAATCTACTCTTCCATTAAAGATTAATTTGTCTAGCAGCACATTAAGTCATGCCATGAGGAACAGAGCTTTCCCATCACTTTTTTAAAAGTTAGAAGGAAAGATAAAGGTTGGAAGTGCAAGCACACTGAACATCAATCCAAATGTCAAATCCAAAGACACCCAACCTGCTTGTTTGCTCCACTTTACAGGTGGTTTGCCAGAACTACCCAATTCACTTTTTCCACTTCTGTGTCAATGGAGGACTTGTTGTAGCTGCACAGCTAACTAATTGATTATAAATAATTAGCATCTCATTCTTGTAATTCTTTTGAACTGCTGGAGTAGAAATTAAAATGACAGCCTCTTGAATAGCTGGGTCACTCAATACATGAACTCTGTTCTCAGTTGAACTACTTGCCAGCAAGACCTGATGTGCCATTTATCCCATCTAACTTGAGATAGCCACACTGTATAATAGTTGCAGTCATGAAGGTCTGCCTAAGCAGTCCCTTAGAACTTAATTTATCTAACTCATTTTGATATATACTTCCTAAGGTCAGTACAAGCTGTGAAATTGGAAGATATCAATGTCATCTTGAGTCAGAGGAAATATGTCAAGATAAGTGTTTATTTTATAACTACAAATTTATTTATAGAAAAGCTAGATTTTGGTACAGATAACCATGTCTCAGGCCTGATCTGATGAATTCAGAATAAGCAATGCTAAGAACTGAAAGGCTACAGGAAGCAGGATAGTGCTGGATGACCACATGCAGAGTTGCAGTCAATGGCTCAATGTCCAATTGGACACCAGTAATGAGTTGTGTCCCCCAGGGGTCAGTGTTGGGACTGATCTTGTTCTATGTCTTTGTCAGTGATATGGACAGTGGGATTGAGTACGTCCTCAGCAACTTTGCCGATGACACCAAGCTGTGTGGTTCGGTTGATACACTGGAGGGAAGGAATGCCGTCCAGAGGGACCCTGACACACTTGTGAGGTGGGCTGATGCCAACCTCATGAAGTTTAACCATGCCAAGTGCAAGGTCCTACACCTGGGTCGGAGCAATCCCAGGCACAGCTACAGGTTGGGCAGAGAAGAGATTCAGAGCAGCCCTGCGGAGAAGGACTTGGGGGTGCTGCTCGATGAGAAAATGAACATGAGCTGGCCTCAGTGTGCGCTTGCAGCCCAGAAAGCCAGCCATATCCTGGGGTGCATCAAGAGGAGCGTGACCAGCAGGTCGAAGGAGGTGATCCTGCCCCTCTACTCTGCTCTCGTGAGATCTCACGTGGAGTACTGTGTGCAGTTCTGGTGTCCTCAACATAAGGACATGGAACTGTTGGAACAAGTCCAGAGGAGGGCCATGAGAACGAAAAGGGAGCTGGAGCCTCTTCCATATGCAGACAGGCTGAGAAAGGTGGGACTGTTCAGCCTGGAGAAGAGAAAGCTGCGTGGAGACATCATAGCAGCCTTTCAGTATCTGAAGGGGGCCTACAAGGATGCCTGAGAGCGACCCTTCATCAGGGACTGTAGTGATTTAACAAAGGGCAATGTGTTTAAACTTAAACAGGGGAAGTTCAGGTTGGCTATAAGGAAGAAGTTCTTTACAGTGAGGATGGTAGACACACTGGAACAGGTTGCCCAAAGAAGTGGTAAATGCTCCATCCTCAGAAGTGTTCAAGGCCAGGTTAGACAGAGCCTTGGGCGACATGGTTTAGTGTGATGTGTCCCTTCCCACAGCATGGGGGCTGGAACTATATTATCTTAAGGTCCTTTCCAACTGTAACTATTCTATGATTCTATGATTCTTACATAGAATCATATCAGATTCTTATATAGAACCATAGAATTCTATGATTCTCATACAGAATCATATCAGATTCTTATATAGAATCATGGAATCACAGAATAGTTAGGGTTGGAAAGGACCTTAAGATCATCTAGTTCCAACCCCCCTGCCATGGGCAGGGACACATCACACTAAACCATGTCGCCCAAGGCTCTGTCCAACCTGGCCTTGAACACCGCCAGGGATGGAGCATTCACAGCTTCCCTGGGCAACCCATTCCAGTGCCTCACCACCCTCACAGTAAAGAACTTCTTCCTTATATCCAATCTAAACTTTCCCTGTTTAAGTTTTAACCCCTTACCCCTTGTCCTATCACTACAGTCCCTAATGAAGAGTCCATCCTCAGCATCCTCATGGCCCTCCTCTGGACTAAGGAATCATTTGAAAAAAAAACAAACACAAATCTGGATCATTTGGTGATACCATTTTAGTGTGTCCCATAGATAGCTTCATGGAAAGAAGAGTGAGATACACTGAAGGTCAGGACTGGAAAGATGGTTGGGCTTGAGGGTTTCAGTGAGATGAGTGAGGGCAGGTAGTACTTGTCACAGACAATGCATTAGGCAGCTATTCCCTCAGTACAGAGAACTCTATGTAAAAACAGCTAACTTCTGCTAATTAACACAACAGGAAAAATCAAATGCTCAGCTCTGTGACAGAGCAGAAATGAAGGCATCCTAAGAGCAGTGATAGCTAGAAACTCTAAACCTATCAACACACAGTGTGGAGTGTCTCCACAAGACTTTCAAGTGCCAGTACACAGATCCTTGGGGGTCAGTAAAGACAGGAAAGGCTTCTTCCTTAATTAGTGTGGTAGCAGCTGTACATCACTTACCTAGAATGAACTAACCAGCTCCAATTGTAGCTGCCATTTGTCATCAGTCATTGTTAACAGCCTTCTTCAAACTAAGACTTGATAAAAATTAAAAGATTCTAGCGCAGTCTATTGGATTATACACTTAACAATTGAATAAAGAAAACATATCCCTAAGCATAATAATCTTCTTCAGCTACAGGCAGAGAAGTTCCAAATACTTCTGGGTTTTATTTTAAGTTGAATTTTCTTACAATGTTGTAAAACATAATTTACTTGTGTAGGTCAATAAAGATAACCCAAGAACCCCATCAGTATATAAAATTACCTTAGAGAGGCCAGCCAGTAATTCAACCTGTTTTCATTAGTGTTGCACTGAAAACACACCTAACCAAATGCCCATTCAAAGACCAGCAAACCGGTATCGGTCAAATCAGCAGACCTCCTTCACTTGCTGCCTTTGCTTCTTTAAACAAATGAAGAGACATGGAACGTAAGGGTTGAAAATACAGACTGAAAAAGCAAATTAACACTCTAAGAAGAGGGTACTTCTGAAATAAAATGGTGTTTTAGGAAACTATTTTCTGAGATCAAGTGTAAAGAAGAATAATACTGCTGAATATTCTAATTAAGTTTGAAAACTCGAAGCTTCCTTAGTTAAAACAATATACATCTTTGCTGGTTTATATGAATGGGTATTGTAGCTTTGCAGATTATTGTTTATGAATATAATACATACATAGTGCTGGGTTTAATATTTTATTTGAATGATGTTTAATGTTATGCAAAATAAACTGTTATGTTACATCCACTGTGACATCAACTGAAATGTGAACTAGCTTGCATAGGTCAGTACTTTGGGCAGCATGATGTTGCTCTAGTCCACCAAGGCTTAAATATTCACAGTGTAGAGGAAGAAACAGGAATTAAAGCATTTCTACTAAAATATATTTTAATAGCTGGTGTTAACTTTCTGCATAACAAAAGCCAAATTAAGATGATACATCATATGAACCAAGAGTAAGTATATCTGTCCTTTGAAAAACAATTGATACCTTCATAACTGTATACTCCCAAGTACAGAACAATTTTGCAAAATAACTAAAACTTTACACACTTGAAAGCAAACATAAGCCAAACTGCACAGCGGTTCATTTTTGCTTTTTATACCACACTGCAAAAACCAACAGCTGAGTTTCCACATCATGCTAAATCAATGTCAATACAGTCATTGCTGTCTTCCAATGGTCTAGCAATTTCTAATAGTAATATTACATACACATGATTGAAATGCTACAGTATAGCTTATTTTTCCCCCTAAAATAATAATAATTGAACAAATGTCAACAACAACTGGATTACAACTTAAGTACAATATGCAAATTCTATTTATCAGACACAAGAAGCATATGAAATTCCTTTGAATATACTGTTGTAGTGCAGGCAGTTTAGGAAATACAGCTTTCAGGTTTTCTTTCAAAAGGAGAGATGGGGTTTCTATGGCATAAAGCTGGAGAAAATCACTAAAGCATTGCAAAATGATTTATTCTTCTACAGCTTACCAGTAGTTTGCATTTGCCAGCACATCAGTTTGGAGAACTACTTTCAATAGCATCTTTTGTCTGTTTCAGTATGTTATTTAAACATTTATGAACTAAAGCATATTCTGTGTTTTAAATGGAGTACTAATCAACATAATTAAAATCTAACATTTTATACCCTGTATACTTTCTGCTAAGGATTTCTGTATTTGTCATTTCTTTTTCATTGTACAAGATGACATGCAGTCACTGTACAATGAAAACCAGAATTATTACCTTTCCAAAGTATTGGAGACCTTCCATATCCCTGAGGAACACTCAGTAGGGACACATTTGTCAAAAATATAATCCATGGGAGGTGATTCTCTGTCAAATTCCAATCTGCTGAAGTGGTTTATGGTATGTCAAATGTAATCAAGAAAACCCTGTTTCATCAAGATTAAATGCTAATGTTCCATAATGAAAAATTACAACTGCAGTATCTCTAAGTAGCTTTGTTTAGAAAACGAAGATTAGCCAGGCAAGAAAGAGTAATGAAAAGCAAGGCACCCATTTGTTCTTGTACATATGTATGAATATGCTCTATGTTGTTTTCTGTACTTACACGTATGCTACCAAGAATTACAACACACTGTATCTTCTTTATTTCTAAAATGCTTAAAATGGGAATGTGTGAACTTTCAACCTGAACTTCAGAAAATCTTGGAAATTAGGCTCCTTAAAAAGTCTTTCCCTTTCCCCAGAAAAAAAAAAAATATTGTCTACAGGAAGAAAGTACAGTGAGTGGAACATGCTGTGTTAAGAAAGAATATATATTTTAAAGGTGACAAGACAGAATATAACATATGTTTATCCCTAAATCCCACTGCATGTAACAGGCTCCAACATATGCCTTGTAAAACCAGTGCTGGCACAATTTACTTGCTGACTCACTTTCCCTACCTTACAAATTTGAGATCTTAAAAAACAGTTTTATAATTGCACTCTGATAATTCTGGGGATTTGATTCCATTGTTTAGAACAGAACTGCATAATGACACTAAAGTTTGTTTTATATCAAAAAGCAGGAACCATTCCATATGAATGCAAACTACGAAGCTTATACAAGATTAAAAACATGGCTACATGAATGAGTAACTTAAAACAATCTTAATAACTCTGCTGACATACCATTCTCAAGAGAAATACAGTTCACAAACAGTTTTGTTTTCCTGATCTTTCTTATTTTGCAATTTGCTTCAGCTGCTTTGCTAAGCTAATGAATATTCAAAATTAATGGAGGAAATTCTATTTCCATTGTTTAACATAACATAGTCCTCTAATGACTAACAATCAAATGCTCATTTTCTGATTTCCTTTTCACTATATGTACAGTGCTCAACACTGCAAGCTGCCTCCTCACTTAGGAAGAATGCTAGTATTTTTATAGGTGGAGACTTTCTTTTTTAAAGGTCATTAAAAATTGCCTCTTGATGCAATATATCTATTCCTTATATCTCTTTTTATTCCTATCTGGTTAACAAACTGCCAACTTCTTTTTATGGTTGTCAGCATTACACAGCTAACAGAGCAGCAGAGCAGCGATTGATGGTAAATTTTGCCTCAGGCATCATCAGAAAATTTGCCAGCCATTGTAAAATGGGATTCCTCTACTTGCTGTTGACGGCTAGTGATGAAAACCAACACAGAAGCAGACTGCTTGTTTCAGAGCTTCTAGTTCAGCTTGTTACATCAGCCTTTTGAAAAAGCTTGCTGATTTAACATGGGAGTCACCAGTAATGCAGAAGGGTCTGTTGCAGCAGCAGCTCTGTATACAAGACTTCCAACAGTTTTAAATTACATCCATACAGACCGCATATTTACAATATCACGTCCCTGGTTTTAAGCCACATTATTCTGAAGTTAGATACTGCTGGTCAGCATTAGCCTTGAAATTCGTCAGATGATAAGAACATACAGGCAATTCCACAGTCACAGACTTCCTTTTTTTTGTGCAGTTATTCCACTCTATTTGGCAGCTGGAATCAGCCCCATGTATAGCAACACCTAAAAAAAAAAATTGCACAAGCTTTCCAATTCCTAATTGCATGTAAAAGTAGAGATAGCGGGTATTTGCATTGACAACTTTCTGTTGACATAACAAATCTATGCTGCCTTCCTTATTTAGTCTTAAAATAGATACTGCAGGCTTGCTAACTTTATGAAATCAGAAATACAAAATTGCCTATGAACTCTGTATTTAATCCTACTTTAAAAATTTCAGAGCAGGCTCAACGTTCTGAGAACTACTCCAAAATTAACTTCTCTACCACATGGCTGAACACCACGTGAATCTTTAACTCTTCTCTCCTCCCTCACAGAGTTTCTCCCTAGGAGGAAATGCAGCATCCTCCTAGCCCCCAGCCAATGCAAAAGCAACTTCCCTGTGACCCAAGACTGATGACACATTCCGTCTTACAGGTCCATCATGTCACCAGTTACTGATCCTCTCCTCAGCCTCACAGACTGAGGCCTGGATGTCTCCATTCAGATGACAAGTTAACAGATACCAAATACCGTATGTGAAGGTTTGTCAGCAAAATATTTTTACTGTTTTCTACAGACAACTAAACTGAAGCACGATGGCATAGAGTATGTTGGACTTCCTTTTGGTTAGTTTTCCCTTCAGTGTCAGTTATGAAAAAGATTAAATCAATAAAAGAAAACATAGTATTTCTCCATCATTAATCATTTGGCAAGTGTACAACTCACTGTTGGACCACCAAGATTTCTGAAGGAAACTGAAGCAACAGGCCATTGAGCTGAAATGCAGTACAATTAAACAGAGCTCTCCTCCATTAACTCAATGGAGGTGCGAGTATTTCTGCAGCAGGGGTAGATACATTAGCTCATCAGCAAAGCAGCCATTAAGCGAGTTACCTGTGGTAAGGAGGAGGGATGTAACTGCAGGCTTTGTGTGACTGCACAGCACTGGGGCCTTCACACAGGATATTTACAGCAGTACAGGTGAAGGTAAAGGAATTAACATGAATTATTGGTTGTATGTTGCCTTAACGGAAGTTTCTGTTTAAATGCTAAGTATTATTAGAAGGAAACAGAAGAGTTTACAGGTTTCATACTCTAGATAGTCTTTGCAAGGAATTTTCTGTGGAAAAGTTACTGAAGAACCACGAGTCCAGGCATGGAGCTAACTGATGCAAGCAAAGCTGATAGAAGAAGTCACTACTGGAAATAAGAGAAAATGTGCAATCCAGGAATAAATGTGGGTATGCAAGAGTCAAGAGATTTTTGCTGTCAAACCAGACCATTTTACTGTAAGGCTGTTGGGCAGTAGCATTATTTGCTTTTTGTTTTTAGTAGAATATTACTTGTCATTATTTCAAATGATTATCTACTCAACATTTTTATTTTTATTAGGATGCTAACTGTTCAAACATTAAACAATTCCCTAATAATTTGAAGATGTGTTCAAACTCAGTGTGTTAACCTCCTGTGACTTCAGAGTGCCATAAGAATTGAATCAATTTTATGGTTGTTATTATAAAGAGAATAATGTCTTTCAGGTGTAGGGAAAAGTTTCTTTCCCCTTTACAACTAATTGACTGAAATCTTTATAGGACTGGCAGCACCAGACTTCCATATATGTTTTTCTTTTTGAGGGAGCACTATTATAATCAATGCTGTGTTGAAAGCTCTAAGTTTCTTGTTGATTATTTATCTTTACTTTAAAGGGCTCTAAACTGGATTCTGAGTGAGAATGCAGACTGTTACAGCAGTGATAAAGTAATAAACATGTACTCTTAAAAGATTCTTCTGATTTTTTCTAAAAGGTCAGATTTTGAGTAAATCATAATAAAGCTTAAAGGACTAGAGACAAAAATCAGTTAACAAACTCAATATAATTTGCTGGAAGCATTCCTGTTTTCCCAGTTCTCTGAACAGTACCATACATCCAGCCATCATCAATTGGTTGCACATTGATGATATAATCGCCATCCCTGAAGGAAACTTCATCTTCATCTTGAGCACTGTAGTCATACATAGCTCTGTAGGTTCTCTGTTGAAGGAAAGAAAAAAAGGCTGTAAAGTCTCAAGCCTAAAGAGAAATAGATTCCTCCTCTTCTTTGCACAAAGAAAATGAAAAGAGCAGAAAAAAAAAAAAAGAACAGAGGGAACAAGGCAGAGAAATCATGTTACCTGTTGAAAAGAAACAACACGCCCTTCACCCTGTCAAATATACAATGAATACAGTCCCTTGTTCTGAGTATCAATATAATTGCTTTTGTGAACCTGCATTGTCCAATGTTCTCACACAAACAGATTTCAGGCCTTTCACTACCTCTTGAAATATTCCAACTCTTTTTTCATATATTCGCGAGTAACAGTTCATTACATCAAGCCATGGATAACTATGCCTTTGCTCTCTGTTTGCATGATTCCCAAATAGCTTCTCCTGTGTCTGCACTACAGAAAAGAAATACAGTCTTCATCCAGGTCATTAACTTGCCATTTCACTGAATGTCCTTCATTTCATTCAGATTTTACCCCAAAATAAAAATTAGGAATTTATTATTACCTATTGGGGGAAAAAAAAAAAAAAAAAAACAAAACACAGGATTTCAAACATTCTGAAAAAATAATTTTTGTTAATACTTATTTTTGCATATTCAGATAAAAGATTGATCTAAACAGAACACTAAGTCCTATCATTAGCTAAGGCAAATTTCTGTACACCTCTGTCCACTGTAAGCCAAGTTTCCATTTTCTTTCTAAATAGAGTATTTATTTCCACTCGTAACTAATAAAATGCTATCATTCACTGGAATCCAAAGTGGATTTTCAAATGCAAAGGGAACAGTCTCCTTTGTATCTTAACAGCAGAATAAAACTAACTCTTTTTAAAATTCACAGGAGTATTTTCTTTTACTTACTCTGCCTCTTGACAGAAGCCAAGAGCAGTTCAAGCATCACTGATAAATTTCCCTACCAGTAATTCCCGATGTGTCAAAATAGCTAGATGAATTTTTCTGGTACAATAGTTTAAAGAGGAAAAGGGTAAAACAGTCAATGTTTGAGCTAATGCCTACTACTATTGTCTGAACCTTTTAAGAGACAGCAAACTTTGTTCTGCTTCTCAGAGGAAAACAACTCTGGATTAGTTTTAGTCCATCTCATTATCAGGTTTTGAGGGGTTTCAATGAAATTATTTTCAGAGAATACTCCACACACAGTGAGTAGGCCATTTCTCACATGTTAGAAATGTGGGATCATCTAATCCAAACACTGTACAGCAACTCATCATTGCTGTTCCCATGCTGCAAATACACTTTTTGGCTTGATTCTGCCCTATCATTGGTAGTGCAGGTTAAACACTACAGAGAAATCAACTCCTGGTTAAAAACTGGAAACCACTACCTTTCCTGACAAGACTGATCTGAACTGAATTTGAGTCTTGTTGTGTATAACTGTTCACTGCCATGCCTTGTAATGTTGCTACCCAACAGGCTGTGACCAAGAACGATTTTTTAAGCAGAGGCATGTGGTTTCTTGGTGGTTCGTTAATGTCTTCCAAGTGTTAATGGAAGGTCATGAATAAACTCATCATTTTTATGCACTACATAGAAGCAACTAATTAGGAGGGTTCTATCATTACCAAAATTTCCTTAAAGATTCACAAAGTAGAAATCTAGCAATTGAAGACCTTTGAGAATCTGTTTTTTTTTTTTCCATTTCAACTGACCTCTCTACTGAGCCTTGAAACTAACTCAAAAAAAAAAAAAATAAACAGTTAAAAATACGCTACTACAACAAGCCTAGAAGTAGTTAGTCCTTTAAACAATTTATTTCAGTAAAAAAGGTCCATTTAAGAAAAATTGTGGTAAGTCTGTATCTGGCATAAGGCCATAAGGCCATCCTGAGCCATGCTTATATGTTTTCTTTAAATGAGCAAAGACTGAGGGAAGAGATTAGTTGTTTTATTAAACTAACATAAAAATGGAAAAAAAAAGAAAGAAGTTTTTGCTCACTCAGAATGATGCTCACTCATCCTTAGAGCATCACGGCATAGGACATGCAACTGCTGTCTCCTTTAAGGCAGCTTGACTACATCACGGTGGTGGCACAGTTGTGAAGACAAGCTGATAATTTCAAACTTTAAGAAAATTTATTAGAGCCCTAAATGCTGCTGAGAAACCTAAATTTACGGCCTTAACACCTAATTAAGTACTAAATGGCTGTCAGGAGAAATCTCCATAATAATCCCGTTAGCATTTAATGCCTAATTATCACTTCAGAGTGTAGTCTGGGTTATGTAATTGAGAATTACAATGCTTAAAGAACTCAAAGAAGGGATTTTTTAAATGCATTTTAGGGAGTTACTTCCCTGTCAGTAGAGAGTTTAGCAGGTACTGAGAGTACAAGAGGGTATAAGAAAAGGCTGGGGCTTTGTAAAACAATCAAATACTCACTTATCTCCCCACCTCCTCAAAGGTCTAACTTGGAGCTACTGACTAGAAAGAACAGTAAATCTTGTGCATAGGAAGTACTGAAGCCAGCCTGTTACATTCCCAGCTCCCAAGCCAGATGTGAGCTGACAGATGCCTATTTCCAGTGCATCTACCAGTTTAAACTTATTCTATGGATCGTTCCTTGAAAGGAGCAGTATCTGTTGCAGTGTCCTTCACATATAGCAGCTATCAAGAAAAGTCAATTTGCAACCTAGGTTTCGTTTTCCTACCACTTTTAGTTATCTAAAGGCATGAGAACACCCTCTGTTATTTTCCAGAGGGAAAGAGCCTTCAGGGATCTGTTATAAAACATTCTATACTGTGAGCAAGAATTTAATTCAGCCCATTATGCAGAGCTGCTCACAGAAACTGAGCAAAAGTTAAGAATCAGAAAACAATGCCATTTAACTGACAAACAAAAATCTACCCAAAAGTCTGTGTTAGAATTATGCTGATACAAAATTCAGCTCAAAACTAAATAAAACTAAATTTGAAAATTTAGAAATTAGAACAATTTTATTTCTCAACATAGGAAATAGGTGAATGTGATTATAAAATGAATTTATAGCTTTTGAGGGCCTGAATTTGATATAACAGTGCAATAAGCCAGCTGAAAGGAGTAGGCTTTACTACAGCAGCTCCAATCATCCCCACCCTGATATAACCTTTGTCAAATCTCCTGTGACATGTCCAGATTTTAAAAGCACCCCAAGATTGCCATCAAAATTAAGCCTCTGCAAATCACTACATTTCAACACATCCCAAACCAGAGGGTTTCCTCAGCACACACTGAGAGCACCCAGCACACCTGGATAGGATGTCAAATAACAAGTTTCACAAAACGGATAAGAAAACCTGTTGAAAGGAGACAGTCAATCCTCTATTTTTAAAATGCTTTAATGTCACTCCCTTCCCTTTCCTATTACTTTTGCATTCCTAATTCTGGAAGGAGAGGCAAATGGTGACTCTCAAGATGATTGAAAAGATATTGTTTCAACAGGCAGCCCACCAGGAAGGTCACTGGGAGATAGAGGTATTAGGGAAATAATAGTCTTTTACCTGCCCACACAGCTGTGAAGCCTAAGTGCATTTCCAGATTTGCAAGCATCTCATCTCTGGTGTATCTGAAGGCTGCTTGTTTGCTCCCCACTAACTAGCAAATCTGCCAGCAAAGCCCAGGCTTCCAGTTCTCCCACTTCCTGGAATCTGGCCCTTTCAGAGAGCAGCCAGCTCCCCAAGAGCCTTTTGATATCCATGGAAATTAATGGTTGATTCCAACGTCAGCTGCCTCAAAGCTGTAAGGCAGGTGCCCAAAGAGTTTCTCAATTATTGGTTCACCCAAAGACACAGGTATCTGCATCCGGATCCAGACTTCCCAGCAAGTTAACTTCTCAGCCCCCAAGCAGCAGAGAAACTGGCAAAACCAAAAGCATCCAAATCTCACATAATATCATAATCTTTCCAATATAAAATGCCATGGAGTTTCAGTCTTAAAGTACAAGCTTTTGCTAATCTTGAAAGCAGTTTTTTTTCCATCTCAGCAAGCTCCAAGTTTGGTTCATAATTAAATATTACTTCAACTCTAAAGGAGGTGACAGAGGTAGTAAATCTACATCCATTCAAAAATAGTTTAAAATTCTAAAATACAAGTCAGTATTTTTAAGGTAAAAGATGACTAGATCTGAATTGTGAAAAAATATGATAATCATTGAAATTTTATTTATAAAGATTTCAAAAAGAAAAAAGGTCAACTTCCTAAAAATCCCAGCTGAATACCAATTCAGCTCTTCTTCCATGACCAATTACTTCTGAAACAAAATATTCACTCCAGCATTATATTCACATCCACCATAATCAAGAACTTCATGAGATGGCCATGATTTCATGATAAAGCTTTTTAGTCACTCAGCAGTATATGTGGTTCAGGCACAAGTGGGTGCATGACTCTTCTGTTGAATTAGAAAGGGCACACCAATACAGAACTTTATACAAGCAGAGATGAGTAATATGGATGGGCACAAAGCCTGCTAGCACAAAATCAGCAAGTTAAAATATCTGAAACAAATTTAAACCACCAGGGCGATATTAAGAGATCAGTGGTTTTCATCCAGCACTAAGAGCCAGAATTCATCACAGAGTACACCACCAAATCTCAGCCTTTGAAATACCATCCAAGCATCTACTATTTGTTTTAAGCAGGCAGAGGATTCAGTTATTCCTCTGTCTTCTGGAGATCATTTTTTTTTTTAATACATTCAGATATAAATGTTCCTGCCACTACCCTGTCACTTAATCTTTTTCATACATGAGTACTATCACATTTAGGAACAGGACTGTCAAATAGTCCAGCTATAGAATTCAAGGATACCAATTCACAATAGCTGATGATGTTACTTACCAAATAAAGTAATTCTTTAAATCCAATACTCACCAGACTTGCTGAATGGGGCTGTGAATGCATGGACCTCATAGATGACATACTGGTCTGGTGCATGTATCCATATCCTTGGGTCTGGCTTTGCTGATATGCCCCAGGGAGAACAGGGGCTGTGTATTAGAGAAATAGAGACACATTAATTTGGTTTTTTTAAAAGTTCTTGTCTAGACTTTTGCAGAAATTGTAGAAACTTGCACTACAAATAACAACTCCTCAGTATGAAACAGTTCAGAATTATTTCCATATACAACATAAGGCTTTTCATTATTTGAGTTACACATAACTGTAGCCAAAGCTATAGCAATATATCCACAAGGTTAGCTGGAAGGAAAATCTTAACATACCTTAAGAATTTTCTCTAAAAAGGTGTAAGAAAGCTTGAAACACCACTGACTATTTTTGGTATTGGCATAGATTATGTACTAAATATCATGTGCTGTGATACTGCCATTTTTTAAGGAAAGATTGATGAAAAAAAAAGGTATATACTAATCCAGTTCTGGAATGTTTCAGTAGAAATTCTCTGCAATTAATTCTTAACACATTGCAAACTAACTCTTATTTATTGGGCTATGAACAAAGCAGGACTGTGATTCACAGGAATAGACAGATATGTTAAAAAGTGAGGCTGTGGTTGAGTTTTTTAGTTTATTCTGATACCACCAACATTCTTTGCTGAACACAGAAAGATCAATGGTTACTTAAATATTTCCAAGACCACCTCTTTCAGAATTGTCCTCTTACCACACAATTGTTCCATCTCTTTCACATATATTTTATTCACATTATTTTAGCAATTACATTATTTCAACAATTCTGTATGCTAACCATTAACATGCTGACTTTTATTGTACCAAGAGCTGCTAAAAGAGTTAATACAACCAACATGGACTCCCTACTTCTACTAGGAAAGCACTCATAAAACTTCTGTATCTGCTGAAACACCTTATTTTGGCAGCAGACCAAAACAGATTGCATTAAAAACATGGTTGATCAAAAATCTGTGAGAAATGAGCACAACATAAGTGACTACTCACTATTTTCCCAGCAAGCCCAATGATGAATAATGGATATTTTAGAAGTGCCAAGTTCATTCTAATGACATATGAGTACAAAGACATTTTAAAGCAGTTTAATCATCAGAGAATTGCTGCTTATTAACATGTTCACAGGATTATCATGCATTAAGTGAAGTAGTTCATCAAATAATTTATGTTTTAGTGTTGTTACAAGCTATTTCTACATGACCAGATGTAGCCCTTCATGAGAAAATAGAGAAAAATATAATCTAATCCAAGGTTCTGCAATCAAGACAGAAGGAATTTTGCCTAACTCACTACCAGCATAAACACTGGTCATTTCATACAAGCCAACAGAGTCTCATACCATATTCATACCAGCAGTAAATTGCTTATGTGGGTTGAAAACTGAGCAGAACTTGAACTTTTAAACTTAATAGGAAGTTGTACTGCTCAAGCCATCACTGGCCACTCATCAGTCAGCATCTTGCCTGCTCTGCTGTGACAAAGGGCTAGTAGCTTTTTCCTGCTCCGTGGTAGGGGCAGACACTCAGAGAGTCCCTTTCTTCTTCCTAAGAGAAGTGAAGGTGCTGGTAGAAACTTTTTACTTTTGATTCCTTCTCCCCAAGAACAGATTTTTCTCAATTCCTACCAATCATCCTTTGTCAGTGTAAGGCAGCAAGCCTACTGAAGGTCAGCTTCACTGTGGCCTCCAAATGAACAGGCTTACTTTGGGGGGGATAACTTATGCCTCCTGCCTCTGTGACAACTATCATTAACAGGTTTGAGATGTGCTTTTCTCTTTTGCTATCAACTTCTCACAGCTGAAAGAATTCTGTCAAATTGTCTCAGTGAGACTTTTTGCTCATTTACCTGCAAAGGTGGAAACTAAGCCTGGGGAAATAAAGCATTTCTTCCCAAGCAAGAGAAGTGGGAAATGTTAGAAGCTGAAGTATTAGAAAAAGGTCCTATACAAACAAAAAGAAGGAATTTTTAGTATTAGCTTTGCTAATTATCTTCTAGTCCTTTAGTTAGGTATCATATATACGAGCCTATATATCAACACATCAGTGTTTGAGAGACTTGATTGAATAATTCCACCTTTTTTTTCCAAAAGAATATTGTAGTAAAGCTGCAAAAAAAAAATTATCAATACTTAACAATTTCTTACAGAAAATACTAAAGAAATCTCTAGATTACTGTCTACTTGGAAGATAATTTGGGAATCATAAATAAGCAGATTATTGAACAGAGAAGGGCTCCGAGCTGTGTTTCTGGTGACATACTGATATTTCAAGGTGAGACTAAATGACACAGAGAAAGAGTTAGACTTTTCTTCATCATCATCATCACCTACAGTTAACTGCAATCTTTTGGCTCAGTCCAAAGTATAAAGTTCTATAACATCACTGACTGCAGCAGCAAAAGCAACGGTTTTAGTTAACCTAAGGGAACAATAAAACACAGTGGTGGAACATGAAATTCATTTAGCTGAAGTCAGATTTATTGGTGAGGGAGCTGAGGGCTGACCATTGCTCCCAGAAGTGCAGGTGGTTGTTTTTTCTTGTTGCATTAAGACTTTACCAGATGCATTCTCATGTATCAAAACTTACTTTTTTCTTGTCTCACTTACCAAGCAAGTCAGACATTCATTTCAAATTAACTACTTGAAGAAATTTATCATATATCTCTTACTATATTTTTCAGGATTTCCCAGAGAAAGGAGAGAGAAAAATGAATGAACATGATAAAAGGCAAACAGAGAGAAAGGCTCCAAGAAAAATAAGTTGAGAGAATGATAGTGAGTATCAACTTGCTGCAGCAGAAAATGGGATCTGCAGAGTGTGTATTGATCAGGACATGCTTTGAGAAGCACTAGGAAAGAAAAAGGTCAAACTGTGGAAACAGAAAAGGAATAACTAAGAGAGCACTGTAGAACTGCAAGGTTAGAAAAAAAACCAACCCAAACCAATCATTTAAAGGGCAGGTAGAAATACGTATTTATATTTTATATAGACCATACTTAAACTCTCTTTCATTCTTTCATACAGCAGAACGTCAACAATCCACGTAAAACTATATATCCCCACTGCTAACTACTGCACTTCTGTCATTTATTGCAATAGAGACCATTGTATGATGTGGATCAGATGTAAAATAATAATCACTTCACATCCTCTTACAGACATCATGCAGTTTTAAACACGTATTTTGATGCTATCTTACTTCACAGTTTAACTACTAAGACTTTGGAGAACTCATGAAGAATACTGCAACACATCATAAGAAAAGCCACAACATAAGAGACCAGGAATTAAAAAGAAAGATGATGAATATTATGTGCTTAATTCTGATGTCTGTACAACACCAGGAATCAAGCTTTAAATTCTCTCAGGAGCACAAGTTGCAACCTAGCCAGAATACAGCACCATACATATTTGTGTTACTGGCACTATGACTAGCTCCCCCAAAACAGATGAAGCTGCTGATGGGAATCATGTTGCTCCAAATATATTGAATTCATTCCCCTGTTTTGCCTTGCTGCTGCCTTATTTTTTACAGTTCACAACATGTAGAGTAGGTCTCATAGCCTTACATGAGAAGGCCTCTCCCATAGTTTTCAGTTCCTTTCTTCTTTTGCCCTTCCCTTAGAAATTGCTCAGCTAGTGATGCAATCACATGTGTGGAAGTGCATGCCTAGAGCACACTTCTGGGGTGTTCGGGTACACCCCACATGTTTTTCATCTGACTGGGTCACTGCCCGAATTCTACACCCCCCCTGACCATCTCCCAGTCCAAGTTACAAGAGCATATAGCTAAAGAAATATAGCCTTAGTATAAACTGTTATTGCTGTGTTGAAGCTAGTGCATAATAACAACTGGTACCTTTTTAAAGTCTTCTCCAGAGAGCATCATGGAGGCAACTTTTATTACAAATTTTGGCTCAGTACTTTATTTTTTTGTGTTCTATCACTTTTCATAGATGTTGGCTGCTGCTCTTTATCATTAAAATATTTAAAGTGTCTTGGGTTGGAAGAAACCTCTAGAAGTAATATAGCCCACCCCCATTTAAAAGCAGGGCCAAATCTGCAGTTAGACTGGATTTCTTTGGGACTTGTCCTGTTAATTTTGAATTCGGGATGGAGATTTCACTGTACCTGTTTGGGCAACTACAAAACCCTATAATTCCTCCTGTTTGTTTCCTAGGCAGTGTATACTCCTGTGCAAGCTCTTGAGATGAACTCAGCCCAGCACTGCATTAATCATACAAGCACCCTGAGTAACAGTTTTAAGGACAGATTTGAAGGTTAAGCTTTATTCTGCAGAAGGTCACATACTGCCGAAGCATGAACAGTGGGATACATGGAACTTAATTGTTGTCAAATAAGAATTTAATGAGAGTTTTAAAGAAGGCCCATATCACAGTCAATTCAGAATCAAAAATCTTGATACTCTGGTAGCAAATAAAACAGGATAGATATGCTGAAGACAGGATGTGAAAGACATAAAAAGTAACTTGACTGCTATGACAGATGAGCATTTAACAGGCTTTTAAGGGTGATGTGTTAAACATAATTCTCTGCTAAAGTTAAAAGTGTTAGAAGAACTCATCAGGAGTCATGAGGTGATAAATCTCAAAGAGGCTATAGGCTGTCCATTCCTGATTCCGAACTGCATGTCTGAAGTTGATGTTCCATGAGCTGGCGGAAGCTAACACTCCTACCACCCTTTCACTTCCTCTCAGCTGTGTTGTTTTTCTGCTGGCTTGGTGAGCTAAGTCAGCTCAGCAAGGTATCAGACCAGCAGCAGATGCAGTGCAAGGAAGGAGGCAGGACCAGGTACTCAAGGCCACAAGCAGCAGTAGGCAGCAAACTGCTAGATCAGTTCAGCTGTCCCATGCTATGCCCTCCCAAGCACCTCACTTCTTAGCAAGCAAGTTCAAACCACAAAAGAGCCGAGCCCCTCATAGATGCTTCCCTCCAGATGTCTCAGCACCCAGCACCAAACAATGCATCCCATGTAATGTAGATGCCCCTGCGTGCCAGCATGTGGCATGCACTGCTCAACTACTTGCATCCTAGGTCCCCATA